GCATAAAACTCACTGAGAGTTAGTTTTAGTGTTGTCCGCCAGGTAGCAACACTATACAACAGCGCTTTACTCACAAAATACAACTACAGAGCAGTGTGTCGGATTTGCTCTGTGTGTCGGCATTTCCCCGGTCTACCCTAAAAGAAGTGAAAAAATTTGATATTATTTTTAAAGAAATCTGAAAAATGTGAGGTTTTTATTCAACTAAATTAGAGAAATTGAAATTTAAATAAAAGTGTATATTTATTTTTTAAATTAATTTTTTGACTCAATATATTTCAAATAAACTAAAAAGAAAAAAAATGTCTGATTTTTTCGTTTAAATTTAAAGACTTCTCTAAAAAAAAGTAGAAAATAATTGTATTTTTTTTGTTTATATATCAAGCTAAAAAATGTTCCACCTAGTTCCACAAATTTTAGTATTTCTGTATATAAAAGCAACTTGACCAAGTTACTTTAATATACATTATATTATCAAGCTTGGTAATATAATATTATCACAGGAAATTTAATGTGATAATTGTTAAAGCAATAATAACATAAAATTTTAGACAGTTTAAAGTAAAGAAATGTATAAAGTAGTTTAAAATGTTTCTGATATATTAAAGATTTTATTGAGAAATTCACGAAGAAAACTTAAATAAAGGTTGCTTTATATTTATATTTAAATACTATTTCTTTATATTCAAAGGTAATGAAAAAACTAAAACAATTTTACCGAAACCATGATAGATACAAAAAGGTAATCATTGGCTTCAGAGAAATGAGGGTATTGGAGGGGGGTATTGGGGTATCTTTTCTCCCTTTCTCCCCTCCCCCCCTTCCTACATCAGAATCTGAAAGTTCTAAAATATCTCAGAAATTAAGGAACTTTTTTTTTTCAGGAGACGCAAATGTGGTACAAAGTACAAAAAATTTTCCACGTTCCCACCAAAAATTCCTAGATCCGTCACTAATTTCATGTCCAATAAAAACAGCCATTTTGGTTCTGGAAAGCCCTATAAAGAATGGAGTGTTCTTGGAGAGCGAAGCAAAAGGAACAAGATAAAAGAACTAGCCACTGAACATTGTGCTTACCTTTAGCTTTTCAAGAATTACAAATGCTGTAGAAGAAGAAAAAAAAGCCACTATTTAAAGAAATAGTATGTCTAATGTTTTAGAAACCAAAAATGTTGATGAAACTTTGGATAAAAATATTCCCATTTATATGAGTGTAGAAGAATCTCTTGCATTAAAATGAATACTGATCTCAGCAATAAACAATTCCAAATGATCAAAACTCAGCTCTTATACATAATGTACATATTTACCCTACCTTGCACGATATTTTAGTTAAAAAATTGAAATGCTACCCTGGAAATATATATTTTTCTAAAATTTCTTTAAAGTGTACTCTTCAAAGCATGTTAGATCACACTGTTAGTAGAATAACTGAAATGATTGATATATCGAATGTGGCCAAGATAATGAAACATTTGGAGTTTTATATGGAAAGATTGGTTTTGGTGGAACATCAAGCCAAAATATTTATAAACAGAAATACGAGACAAGGAACATAATTAAAGAACTGAAGCATTAAGAAAATCTTTTCAGTACAGCTTTTGTACCTTTGTTTAACATAGGATATGACAAAATTTGGAAAAATGGAAATCCTTAAAGTTATAACTTTTGTAGACCTCTTTATCTCCAACATAAAGAGAGTCCTATTTTATCCAGAGAAGCAAAATCAGAAACAAAATTGTGAAGACTAAAATGAACACCTAAAAACGCAGATAAAAGAAAAACAAAAAAGAAGAGGTATCGTAGACAAATTTCTTTTAAAGAATTTCTTGAAGAACTTCTGAGGAAGATATTGATGAAGCTAAACTAAAGTGATGATGACAAGCTTGACAACGGGATTGATTTATTTTTAAAGGACACTTAGATGTGTCTAGTTTGTAGTGAATATGGAAAAAAAACTGAAATCTGGTATCGTTGTGTCTATTGTGGAAAATGGGCGCATGCAGATTGTAGCGGTTATGATTCCCCTGAAAACTATATTTGTGACTTTTGCCGTACTCATTAATCTTCGATTTGAAAAAGGTTTTTTTCGTCTCAAAGATTTAACCTGTCTTACTTTATTATTATCAATTATATACTATTTTTATTTACTCTATGTAACAATATAACATGTTTGGTAAAATAATTGTCTTATTAATTACTAATGTCGGTATTACCCCAAAGTGGTGTCGCAATTATCCCAGTGGCTGGGGAAATACCAACACTGTGCTTAAATTACGAAAAACATTCATGTAACATTTCTAATGTAAATAATTTTAAAACATTACATATTGATTTGATGCAGAAAATTTGGACAAACCTTTAATCAATGGTACGGGACACATCTAGTGTCAAACTCAATTTAAAAATAGGGATGATTGGATCAACCAATAATCTGCAGCGTGTTTTAAAACAAATTGGCTAAATTCATCAAAATCCAGTTTTAACTCATCTATACTTTCTAACATTTTTAGCATTTTTTCATTAGTGATCATATTAGACAACTTGCTGCAACCACACTGGTTTTCACATCTTTGCAAGAATTCGGATATTGCTTGGCCACTATTGTTAACAAAAACTGACTTAAATTGCTTATTTAATATATTTGAAGTGTCTGATATTTCAGTTGTAATTTGTTCTTTTTTATTCTTGATTGCTCTTGTTTGGGATTTAACATTTTGTTTTCTATTTACATATGAGAATAAAAGTTCTGGTGCGAGTTTTGTTTTCTTTACTTTCGTATTCTCGTGTTGATCTTTTGATTTTTTTTTATAAAACGTTAGCGTATATTTTATTGAATTAACATTAGCGTACATTTTAAGATTTTTGCTTCTGCAGATGCACACTCGAACAAAATAGAAAATGCTTAATCTTTATTACCTTATTAAATTCAGCATCCGTGGTTGACAATTCCTTTTTTTATTATTATAAATAGGAATAAACAACCGGACAGGACTCATTATAAGTATGTAAGAATAACTAATAACATTCACAGGCCGAACAGTTTAATTCAGTTGACTTGTTTTAAGTACTCAATTATTTGTGTAAATTTACTTTTTTTAAAGTTAATTTCTTTTTTTTTTATATTTCTTTAATATTTTATAAACTTAAAAGCTAAAATATACAGTATTGGACAAAACATTTGCAACAAACATCAAACAATGCTAAAAAGCGTTCCTAATTTTACATGTCTTAAAAACGAAACGAACTATACTACCACAGCAAACAGTTCCGGAGTCTGGAGATATAGCATGCCATGACATGAGCAATCAGCTGACAGCACTGACATGAGCAATCAGCTGACAGCACACAGGCAGAATTTTGTTGACAAGTGCCATTTTGCAGCGAAGAAAACAAGTGCAATTTTTTTGGTTTGTTTCATTTTCTTAAGTCTGGTCCGTGTCAACGTCACGGAAGTTTTTTAATAATTAAAGGAAGTATCCAGAAGTTTCCAGAAGTTTCCAAAAGCATGCAGAAGCCTCCAGAAGTTTCCAGAAGATGCATCTGGAAGCATCCAGACGCATCCAGAAGCTTCCAGAAGCATCGAAAAGAAGCATCTAGAATCTTCCAGAACAGGTTCACCCAGGTTCATTTTACTATATAAGAGACATGTAAACCGACATGTAATTCAGTCAGTATATGGAAGTCAATCAGTCAGTATTGTCAAGACAGTTTATCGAAGTGAGTTTTATCAAAGTGTTTTATCGAAGAACATCAATACAAGAAGTGAAATACAACAAGTGTTTCATTACATCAATACAGTCTACATCCAACCAAGACATTGTGTTCCACAGAGCATTATTGTATCATCACAAAGTAAATGTAAACGGTAAGCCTTGAGAAGCGTGATTATATTTATTTTTATGACTTCAAGTGCGAAATTGGCTCCTGACAGTCTTGGATTGGAACTAAGAAAGAAAATTATTGGCGATTACGTAAGTGGAATGTCACAAAAAAGTATTTGTGATTAATACCGCGTGAAAAAATGGACCGTATCAAGACTATGTTCCAAATATCGTTCTACGGGGATGTTGGCAGCAGATAACAAAGTTGGAAGACCGCGTTCCACCACTTCTAGAGAGGATTCTATGATCGTCAGAACCGTCAAGAATGATCCCTGGATATCATCATTTAAGATACAAAAGCAATTAGAGCTGCCTGTATCGGACCGAACAATCAGACGTCGTGCTGTTGAAGCCGGATTGTTTTCTTGACGCCCTGAAAAGAAACAGCTAATTTCACTAAAGAACCAGAAGAAAAGACTCATGTTTGCTACATCTCATATACAGATTACATAGCAGTTTATGTATAAAAGATCCACTTCCTAAGCTGCACCTTAGATTTTAGACTGAATGTTGATTTTATTTTTATTCGTCTGTTCAGCGAACGAATTAATTTGTTGACCATGTTCACGTCATCCATCTTATGGTCCTCATTTATACTTTTTTTTGAGATAGGCAAACCAACAATTACAACAAATTTAGATTTTTCACTAGATAATTTTTCACGACTTTTTGCCACTTTAATACTTGCATTATACACTCGGAAACGTTTTTGGCAAACTGCTTCGCAATTTGGCTGTTATAAAGAGCAGGTGAACTAGGTGATAAACTAGGTGATAAATGGATTTGACTTTATAGACCTAAAAAGTGATAAAATATGACATATTTTATCACAACTATATTGTGACAACTTGCCCCTTATACCATGACAAGTTGCCCTGTTGTAAGTTGTCATACCATAGAGGCTTCTTTATAAAAAACTACACGTTCTAATAAAATGAAATAAAACGAAGCTTTTTTAAGCTTTTTATTCAGCTAAAATAATACATTTCAAATAAAAAAGTTTTATAAAAATCGATCAATTAGTTTTTAAATATTTGGAAAAATCTAAAAAGAATATTCTTTTTATAAAGATAAATTCATAATTTCAAAGTCAAAATAACAAGCCTATAAAATTAATAACACAAAATAGTTTTAAAATTTAATTAAAAGTACCTAATAATTCAAAATACCAAATCGTCTCATAAACATATGCAACAAAACATAGAATCTCGTATAAAAACATAAAATTTTGTATAAAAACATAAAATTTCGTATCAAAGCATAGAGTATGATAATAAAACATCCAAAAACAAACAAAATCCTTAAAAAAATGATTCTGAAGTGTTTTGATAATGTTCTAAACCAAATTAAAACTGGTTAATGTATAAAATCTTAATTAATTTCCATAATTTATCGTTAAAAAACTGTGTAATTCGTTAAAAACAATAATTATGCCATTAAAGATTGATGTCCCTGAGCTGTTTTTTCATAAACGACCTTCTTTTAAAAGTTTAGTCATGGATTCTCGAAGTTCGTTTTTCTTAACCTACAATAAGTAAAAAAAATATCAACACTAATTATGTATATTTAATAAATAATTAAACAAATTATTAAAGTATGCATTGAAAACGAGCGTTTTATATTGAGACTCTTAATTCGGCATTAAAAGCTAAAATTCTAGGCTGCTAACATCAGTCCAGTTTCAACTTCCAGAGTGTAAAGACGCTTTTATCCAAAATTTTAGGCATGGCTGAGTTTGCCCATACAAAACCTATTCGCGGGGAATTCTTTTACATTACTTCCACCGAAAGACAACAAGAGCTGAAGCGCATAGAAACTGGAAACATACGGCGACAATGCTATTTCATGCATTTCAATGCTATTTCAAGCATGCAGAAGATGGTTTTAACAATTCAAGAGTGGTGATTTTTACCTCGAAGATGAAGAAAATCTTGGCGCTGAGAAAAAACTTGAAAATACCAAATTGGAGGCATTACTTGCTGAAGATCCATGCAAGACACAGAAAGAGCTTGCGGAAACATTGGGAGTTGTTCAATTAACAGTTTCTAGGCGCTTGATACAACTGGGAATGATTCAAACGCAAAGAAATTGCCGTAAAAATTGAAACCGAGGGACATTGAAAAACAATTTTTTATCTGCGAACAGCTGCTCATGCAATAAAAAAGAAAAAGTTTTCTGCATCAAATTGTTACTATTGGTGAAAAGTGGACACATTACGACAACCTTAAACGCAGAAAAGCATGGGTCAAGTCCGAGCCATCAATTCCGAGCTCATGTTCTGTATCTTGTGGGACCAGATACAGAGTATAAAAAAAACAAACTAACTTTTAATGCATACTCCAAATATTTTAACATTTTTCAAGGAAGTAATATTCCGAAAAGAAAGTTTTTGTGTACTTGATCATATCAAATACATCTCAAAGGATAAAGCATTCTTTTAGGAATGTTATTATTATATTTTTTCGGCTATTTACCGAGTCATAAATTATAATAAAATTTTTATTGGTTTGTAACAGGTTTTTGCTTTGTTTTTATTTCACTGTAATATTTTTAGTTTTAAACTTTATATATAAGAGTTTTAATTGTAAAATGTAAATCTTTTTAAAATGTAGTATATGTCAAGATTTCAGAATATCGTGTTTTCTTGAAAATGTAATAAAAAATATCAAATACTTAAATGCAATATTTAATAAAACTTGAAATATATGAGCACAACTATAGTTGCAAAAAAAAAAACGCGTTTTTTTCCTTTTCTTTTTTTTTGGGTCAAAAAAACGCGTTTTTTTGGTCCCTTTTTCAGCAACTTTTTAGTTTTGTTAGGTATAAATTTTGGAATAGTTTTCCTTTATTCTAGTCTATTTTTAGTATATGATCATTAAAAGCACAATTACATGTATAAACACCAATTTAATTTATACTTTTAATAAAAGATTAAATTAGCTAAAAGTTATATATCTAAGCATACTGAACGAGAATGATTACTTCTCATATTGTACTTCCTAACAACTGCGATACTCTCATTATATATAGAAACTATTCTTGTCATAAAAGAAAGTTACCATTTTAATTTTGATAATGTAAATATATTAGTATATAATACCAATTTAATATCAAAATTCCAATGCTCAAAGGAAAAAGCAATCAAGATTATTTCTTTGAGTAATTGCATATTGTGTAGTAATTTAGTCTTACATTGCTTTTTTGTTATATTTGTCAAAAAAATATATATCGCTAGTAGGCCTTATAAAAAAAAAACCTTATACTAAACCTAATTTAAGGAAAATTTCTGTGACCACCTTCATCTGATGATTTGAAATTTATTTATTCATAATTTTTTTTTTTTTTCTGCGTTTTTTTTCTAATTGTATGATTTATTTATTTAGACATTTTCATATAGTATTATATCAGGAAATTTTTTAGCATGCTTTGTTGTCCAAGTTCAAATTTTAGAAACTTTTTCCATTTTGCTAATTTGGTTCAGCATTTTATATAAATGGGCAACTAAGGTTTTATTTCTTCTCACTGTATGGAGAGCTTAATCATAATTGACTACCAACAAGAAGAACAAGAAGAAAAAATTTAAAAAATAATTTACTCTTCTCTCCCTCTATATGTATGTAAATATATATTATGGTGCCTTTAGATAGAAAATCACAACTTAGTAATTTGAATGCGGTGTGTGTTTATCTTTTGTGTTAATCTTTTTTTAGATTCTATTGCAGGAAAACTACAGTTTTTATATCAAAAATAAAAAACATGAATTTCTATAAGTTTTTTAAATCTTTTTTAATTTTTTTTTTGTGGATTTATATAACATTTACCTTCATTTAAATACTAAGTTTATCTATTTTCGAAGGAATTATTTTTAAACAATATTAGGAAGTTGTTGAATAGAAAATGAGCTTAAGCATGAACTAAATATTGGACAATTAAATTTAAATTAGATGTGAATTAATTGCAAAAGATAACATGAAACACATCACATGAAAAAAACTGAGTTCTGATTTTTATCTAATGAAGGGTTAAAGACATGCTAGCATGCTGGTCTTCTCCATAAACTTGCTTCATATGGTGTACCTGGGAAAATTTCGGAGATTATTAAATCGTTTCTTTCTAACGGCTTTATTAAAGTCATCGTCAAAAGCCTACACTATTTTGCATTTCCAGTAACTTCTGGGGTACCTCAATACAACCTTACTCATACAACCATTTCCTTGCTCTATACCTCTATTCTTTTTTTTCCTAATAACTCCCAACTTAATAGTGGTTGCTTGCAGCCTTGTTGGGAGTGAAGTGTAAATAATCAATGTTTATTGTGTCAATATATAACACTAAAACAATTACGATAAAATTGAGAAAGATCAAATTATTTTAGAAGTTTTTATACAGTACTGCTCCAATCATGTTAACCTTTAAGCATAATAGAATAAAAAGAATTTCAGAAAATTTTAGTATATGTCCTTTTTAAATCTGAAGTTAAAATATAATTTAGGACATTGCCATTAAAGTTAAATTTAGTAGCTTAAATAATAAATTTTTTAAATATTTCTCAAAAAAAAAAAAAAAAAAAAGGACCCTTTTAATGTATGCAATAAGAAATTCTGGAATTTATGTAGTATTGGACCCGGTATGTATGCAGTATTGAATTTCAAAATATATAAAGTATTGGACTTAGGAATGTACAGCCTTTTAGAAAGACTGGCCTTAGGAAAGCCTTAGGAAAGCCTTTTAGAACTAATAACGAAAATTCTAACTGAAATGATTCATACTCAAAAGTAGAAAAAAAAAAAGAAGTGTGACAAAAGAAAGTTCACTTTGTCACACTTCTTTTACCTTTTATAAAAGCACTATAATAAAATGATAAAGTATTTAAATGTTATTAACAACAAACTATTTTATACAATGAAGATTTAACACAACCCCCCTTGAAGTGTAAAAAAATGAGACAAAATGAAGTAAAAAATTATATAAGAACAACAAACACATAATAATAAATAACTGTCATCTTAATTTTTAGATCAATAAAATTTCAATCTCCTAAGATGGTCATAGCTCACAAACACATAAAAACAGGGATCTGATGCAGAGGTTCTGTGAGAATCCTAAACAGAGATGCGTTTAGGATTCTCACAGATGCTTCTATTTTAATAGATGTATAAAAGAAAGCATTTCAAAACTTTGTCATCAGTGGTTCTAGTGTCAGAGATAAGATACTGAAGTTCAATAATAAGTACACAAACCTGCATCATCACAAATTAAACTGAAAGTCACAAATTAAACTGAAAGTTAAAGGAGAAAAAAATATGTATACTACAAAAGAGTCGACTGCATTTCAGAAGTCAGTGGGGAATAAAAATATTCGAATCAGGAGGTAAGAGGGCAAATTGACAATTAATACGGTAAAATGGGTTTGAGGATTCTTTTCACTTGGACCAGGTTTGGTCGGGAAGCGGAAGCGATCGCTCTCGAATACTGACCATAGAAATAATATTTAATTTAGAAAAACTGGCCAGGTTTTTTAGTTGTTTTGAGAACATTTAAGTTTATGTAAATAAAATTTTGTTTTACAGACATTCATGGAAACATACATAAACTTGAATGTTCTAAAAACATCTTGGTGCAAAAGAATAAAAAAAATACTCGCAAACACTAAAAACCCGCCAAATCTACAAACTAATTCTATTGGTTCAAAAAATATGCTGACTAAGCAAAATAAAGTTCTAGAGTATTCTGTTGAAATGTTTTAAAAACTGTATTATTCACGATTTGTTACGTTTTGAGATTTCTACCATAAATTGTTTTAAGAATATATTATCAAACGAACTTTAATACAATGGCTCATTCACGGAACCAACTCAATTCACGGAACCAACCAACGCAACTCTGCAAGGCTGTAAATCTTTTAAATTATTATTTACTTACAATAATACAATAGTACAAATGTACATATAAATATACATTATTTAAATTGTCAAAATTTTGAAAGTTTATTATAAATTATAGATTTTATTAGTATATTCTTATTTTTTATTTAAAATGTATTTTTTATTTAAATGTAATTTTGTGTATCTGTTTTTTTATTCTAATGTAATATTTTAAAGCAAAAACAGACATTCAACAATAATTGCGTTTTCAATTAAGTTATTGATAATCATCAAAGTTAATAAAACTAATTATGAAATAATCATATAAGAGGTTACTGGTTTATTATTAGTTTAAAAAAATAATTTCTAAAAATTGTAAATTTATAACTTATTTAAAATGTATTTTAAATTTTCTTTTTATTTTAATTTGCCTTATTGATTTATTTACCTATTTTTTGAAATAATTAAAAAAAAAATCCATTCCTTTTTTTAATTAATGTTTTTAAAATAAAAATTTTTAATTTTAATAAATATATGCAGTTTTTGGTAAATATTGGCTAGGTATTTAATAATTCAATGAATTTAAAATCAATGATTCAATGATTTAATCAATTTAAAATCATTGATTTAATCAATGTAAAATTTAATGATTCAATTAATTTAAAATCAACAATTCAATGAATTTAAAGTCAATTATTCAACCAGTTTAAAATCAAAGATTCAATCAATTTAAAATTGATGATTCGATCAATTTAAAATCAATGATTCAATCAATTTAAAATCGATGATTCAACCAATTTAAAATCAATGATTCGATAATTCAATTAACTTAAAATCCAACTAACCTTTCCTGTAACTGTCATTGGGTACTCAGTAACAAAATGAAAATACCGTGGAACTTTATAATGAGAGACCTAGAACAAACTCTGGCAAATTAATAAAAAACTCAAAAATTAAAAATATGTAAAAAACCAAACCTTTAAAAAGAATTACCTTATCTTTGCAGAATATTTTGATGTCTTCAGCTGTAAGACTGTAACCAGCTTTTAATCTGAACTTTTTAAATGACATTTATTAATACACCAAAAATAAACAATAAAATTTAGTTTTGAAAACAATAGAAAACAATCATCACACATTAAAAACAGTGTTGTCATAGAAAAAGAATGTAATCATCAACCTGATAACTGCACACACCTCTTCACCCATCCTGTAATCAGGAACGCCAACTACCTGTAACACACATATATATACATACATTACCTGCCAATTAAAAACATCTTTTACAACAATATAGCAGTTAGTGTGTTTTTTAAAATTAAATTCTAAGAAATGTTATAAAATAATTTATTAATGAACTAAATTAAAATGCTAAATTAAATTTTAAGAAAACTCAAGATTTGACTTGCATTTGGACAAACAAGGTATTATAAAGAAATAAATCATTTAAATGGATGCAGCTAAATGAATGTATAAACCATACTTTTTCAAAGATATATTACATAAAACATATAAGGTGTACAAATTTAAATGTTTTTAAAAATTTGCTAACTTCTTAATGGAATTTATCTTAAAGTACTGAGAAGCAATATGCAATATATTTGGGGTTGTTTTCTTGTTGAAAGATATACAACCCCAAACCAATTTTAACCATGCTCACTCTAATAAGACAGCCACTATTATTAAAGATTAATGTTTTCTGATTTTTTTACAAAAACTGATTCTCCACTGATATACTATACTGATATACTATACTGATATACTTATCATACTATATATTTGTGTTTATCTCTAGATAAACTAGGACAAGCTTTTTTTACCCCTAGGACAAACCACTTTTATTGAGGTTTTAATCTAAAATATTAACGTAACCAGTGTAATTTTAAAATCTTGACTTCCAAAGGCAATAAACCCCATATCATAAGCAACTCTCCACCGTTTCTTTACAGTAGTTTGTATGCAGCTCTGTATTAATTGCTCTGAAGGTTAGCAACATTTCTTTTACGTTTATTTAAAATTTATGAGTTTAAATTTGAACGTATCAGATCATACAACAGTGTCCAATATAAACCTGTAGTTATTAAAAAAAAAAAATTTTAACCAATTGATTGTAGTTTTTGCTTTGTAGTTAATTCAGATGCATTCAGAAAGCATTGAAACTTTACTTTTAGTGCTAGTGCTGACTTTTCTGAATCAGAAGTGACTTTCAGTTTCATCAAACAATTTTCATGTTTATTTATTATAGTTTTCAACCTTCAGAATAAAAGGTAATGTACATGCCTTTACTTTTTTACTTCCCACATATTTTTTTAACTCCTCCAATTGTAACATTTTCTTGAAATAATCAAAAATAATGAAGAAACATTATTATATAATATAATTACTTTTAAATTTAGTTTTATAATATAATTACTTTTATAATATTATATAATATAACTACTTTTAAATTTAGTTTTGCAGAGATAATTGCAATTATTTACAGAAATACAAAATCTTTCAAAAGATTGCTAATTAATTTACTTTTACAATCACTCTATGATAAAAATCCTGTTACTAAGGCAACATTGTTGTTACTTATAACAATTAGTTGTAAGTAACAAGAATGTTGCCTTAACTTGTAGTTTATATCTTGTACAATTATTTTACGATAACTTTTAGGACAACAATATACACATGCAATAAGATAGACAGCAATATCCAATAAGATGTAACCTTTTAAAAACTCTTCTAGTTACTAAGCCATTCACCAATTGATCCATTCACTAACAGTATTATGAGAACAACATATAAAAAACCTTCTACTGTTATGTCATTTAAAAACACTGAATGCTTCAGTAGCAAGAACTAAGTTTGTAGCACCAGAAATGAAATTGTTCTATTAGAGGTGCTGAATCAAATAATTTTCAGTAGAATTTCCACCTTCATAAGTAAGTGCTATATGATGTTCAGGTAAAATGCACTTTTTGAGCATTTCTCATTGAAGTAAAATATTTTACTAGTTTAAGTCGTTTAATCAATTTTGCTATCAACAAAATACCTTTTTGTTTTGAGTCTTTACTAACAATTTAAAAAAAAAAATTTCACAAAAAACTCACTTTAAAAATAGACATATATCATTTAAAAGAGGTAAGCTTGGGTTTACCTCTTATAACATATATATATATATATATATATATATATATATATATATATATATATATATATATATATATATATATATATATATATATATATATTATATAAATTAAATTATAGGCTATATCAAAAATACATTTTGCAACTTTTTATACTAATTTAATTTTTTATGGTTTTTTAGCAAAAAGAAAATACCAAAAAAAACCCAAAACCCTTAGTCAACAACCGAATTTTTTTTTTTTATTTTCTATATTTCTTAAGCATAAGTGCTCAATGATAAACTTATAATCAAATTAAAATACTACCATAGTTGGGTTTCAGAAACTAATTCTGTAATGTAAATTCTGTAAACTAATACTAATTTGATAAAATACATACATTACACTCTTTTAATCTAGTTTTTCTAATTTCTCCGCACATTTGCTGATTTGAATTTTTAGTATCATTCTCAGATAATATTCTTTTCATAATAATTACAGTTTTTAATTGTTGTAAAACTTTTTCTCTTTATGATCTGTGCTGTACACATTACACATAATGAAGATAATTATCCTCACTTAATTTCAATTACAATTTATTATATATTATGTCCAAAAATATTGTTTGCTTTGAAAAAATATTGTTTGCTTTGAAAAAATATTGTTTGCTTTGAAAAAATATTGTTTGCTTTGAAAAAATATTGTTTGCTTTGAAAAAATATTGTTTGCTTTGAAAAAATATTGTTTGCTTTGAAAAAATATTGTTTGCTTTGAAAAAATATTGTTTGCTTTGAAAAAATATTGTTTGCTTTGAAAAAATATTGTTTGTTTTGAAAAAATATTGTTTGCTTTGAAAAAATATTGTTTGCTTTGAAAAAATATTGTTTGCTTTGAAAAAATATTGTTTGCTTTGAAAAAATATTGTTTGCTTTGAAAAAATATTGTTTGCTTTGAAAAAGTTTAAAATGCTCTTTAAACTTTTTATTAAATTAAAAAACTCTTTAATTTTAAAATGTTTAAAAGTTTAAAAACTTGAAATATATAATTTTTGAACCTGGACATCTTCGATTGCTGGATGACTGTATAAGAACTGTTCTACTTCAACAGGATAAATATTTGTACCACCACGGATGATCATATCCTGCATGCAAAAAACTTAACTTAATATTACATTATTATAATTAATTATAATTAACATCGAAATCATTAAAAATTATGCTGTAATAATATTATAGAAGATATGCCCTGATATTGTAATAACATTTTCTTAGTAATATTACCTTAGTAACATTAAGACATTATTAAGTAATATGCAAACTACCTTTAATCGACCAATAACTTTACAGTAACCATTTTCATCAATCAAACCAATATCACTAAATTGCAAAAACAAATTGTTATGTATACTTTAAAAGAATATAAAGAGTCAATAAAAATGTTTACAAGTTGTACAATGTTAAAAAATCAAACAAAGGAAATAACTACCCTGTATGAAACCAGTTATTTTGATCAATGACTTCTTTTGTCTTTTTATCTTCACCCCAATATCCTTGCATGATACAATGGCCACGGTAGCATAGTTCCCCCTTTACTCCAACAGGTACAACTTCTCCTGACTCATCTACAAGCTTCACCTAAATAATAAATAACTTACTAAAATACTAGTAGTAGTTGTAAGTTAAATCATTTGAAATACAATTGGTTTGTAATTTTATTGGTTGTTTTAAGTTAAATCATTTGGAATACAATTGGTCTGCAATTCTATTGATTGTATTAGTTGAGACTATTATGAATCATAGAAAAAAAAAAATTCAGAAGATAAGAAAGATCAGAGATCAGAAAAGAAAGATACAGGTAAAATAAATATCAAATATAAATGCATGTCAAGTCTATCTAAAAAAACAAAAGACCAAAACAAACCAAACCAAAGAACCAAAGATCAGGATACAAAGGAGAATATAAAAGTGAAGATTTTGGCACAGAAATTTTGTAAAAAAAGAAACAAAAGTATTTTTAATATTTACCCCATGCAAACATTTACCTCCATGTGAGGAATAATTTTTCCTATTGTAGAAACACGAAGATCAATTGGATCATCTCGTGCTGTCATATTTGTTGCTGGACTTGTTTCTGTCAAACCATACACAATCTAAATATTTTTATAAAATTTGTAATTAATTTAATTTACATTTAAAAAAATAAAAAAAAGTAAATTATAAAGTTTTTTTATTCGCTTCCCAAAGGCCAAGGGCCCTATTACAGTTCTTTTTCTTATTGTTGTTACAACGCTCTTTCAATCTTCCAAGTCCGTTTTGTAAAAAAAAAGTTAAGTCTGGTACTACCAAGCATGTAGTGAGGATTGAACTTAGAACTTTTTGTTTACCAAGCAAGTACTCTACCACTACACCAGAATCACATGACACTCAACTTAATGATAGCACATATGACACTAAACTTAATTACTATTTTAAATCTAAAAAATGCATAGCATTTAAAACTTTTAAAATCTACTAAATAATAATGTTTTTATCAATATATTTTAATTAAATATTTTTAAAATATTTAGATAAAGATTTAAAACAAACTTTATTCTGAAAGAAACTATCTTCAGTAAAATTAATAATTTTAGTATAGCAGAATTTAACAATGAAGGTAAGAAAATGAATGCATAAATTATAAGTACATATATATATGTGTATATATATATATATATATATATATATATATATATATATATATATATATAAATTTATTGTTTCTTATATATTTTCTTATTCTATATTTATAGTTAAATATAGTATAACAGACGATTAATAGATATAACATGAAGGCGTCTGTTAGGATGCCTATTGGTAAACATCTTAGGTACTTAGGAATCAAAAACATTTTCAGTAAAAAAAAACTTTAAAAAAAAAATGTACAAAATTTTCAAACAGTGGAAAAAAAATGTCAAATTTACAGTCTTACAGTCATTTCTGAGCAGTTCATTTTATCAACCACTTGGTTCATTATTTCAACAGGACATGGGGAGCCTGCCATTATACCTTCAAACACAAAGTATACAATAAGAAAACTATCCACTCACATTGTAATAATCTGTCCTTTTATTCACCATCACAATTATCAACCCTTTTTCACCACCCTAATTTTTATAACAAAAAAATCAACTAAAAATACCTGTTCTTAGAGATGAAAAATTGTAATTTTTAAATTCAGGATGATTTAACATATCAATAAACATTACTGGTGTCCCATATATTGCAGTACACCTACAATGAACCAATTTCAAAATACATTGCAGTAAACTGATTTAAATAAACAAACATAGAATGCAATGAATGGAATGCAATGAATTAAATGCAATGAATTGAATGCAATAAATTATAAATTATTGTTTAAGTTTAAGAAATAGAACCACAAAAAAAGTCTTTAAAAACTTTTAAAATAATTCAATTAAACCTGTAATTAATATAACAATATAATAATAATACATATATTTTTATATATGGCTATTTCAATGATAGAATAGGTAAATTTTGTTTTTAAAAAAGTATTTTTTTTCTAAAACTTTTTTTCTTTAATTATAGTTTAAAAAAATTGAAATTTCTTATAAAACAAATTTTGAGTATAAAGTAATTGAACAGAGGAGTAAAATTTGACGAATGTTAGCAATTGTTTACTCTTTTATTATTCGAAAAAGTGAGTAAGATTTGAGGCCCAGTTTTCAAAGATTTAAAAATATATATATCCATAATTTTATTTAAATAGGTTCTTTGAGATTAAGTTTATGACTTGAGTTTTAGATTTAAAAAATAATTTAAGTGCTTTTATGTGACATACAGCACTGCAAAAATTAGGTTGCATCACTGAATTTAAGATTAAAAAAAATTATTATCAATATAAAATAAAAAATAAATGTTATAAAGCGAAATTTTTTTAGAAATCTTGCAATAAAGAGTAACTTTGCTTTTTCTCTGCAAAAAAATTAATTTTAAAAGCATTATATTCACTTATAATTATGGTTTCAAAATTGTTACTCTATTGAACCCATCAACGGGATAATTGGCGATTTGTAAAATAGCATAAGAATAAATCAGGGAAGTTAAAATCGCATATCAAAATTCAAATTTTGTTTTGGTTTTTAATCAATTAAGTTTTGCATTTTCATATCCTAAAGTATTATCAGAAAATATTTTTGAAATACTGGTTTATTGTTTGCAATTTCATAGTACATTCTTAAGAAACAAAATCCAAATTAGAAGTAAGAAAAAAAACATTATGCAGAATACCAAGCTTACAATGTGGCTCCAAGTCCTGATAAAAAAATAAAAAATATCCAGAGAAAGATCTAAGAGATATTGAGAAAAATTGATAGTTGTAAAAAGTCACACTCTTTAAAAAAAACTTATAAAGCAATTTAAAAGACTGAACTCATTTAAAAACGTTCAACAAAATGGAACTGCATTGTAAAAGGTTTTAGAAGCACAACAATACGCAAAAGAAAAAAAAGTTTTAAAAAAATTAAAAACTATTACATTTACAATACGGTAGACCAGGATTTTCTTTACAAGCTGAATTATTTAAAAGAATAAAAGTTCTTTTTATTCTTTAAAATAGTTCAGCTTGTAAAGAAAATCCAGGTCTACCGGGTTGTAAATATTCAAAGCTGTATAGAATTTCTGAAAGTGATTTTTTATCAGTTGTAAATTTTTATAATGAATGTGCAATTTGCCTAAGATACATTAACAAAATCAATTTAAGTGTCTTCAATCAAAGTTGAATCTGAAATGATAAAAAAATTTATTCGTGAATCTTATACATATGGTTGCACATATAACAGATGTACTGCATACAAATGTAAAGGGAAACAGTTAGAAAAATACTAGAAAACTGTTGATACATTTGAATTTGAAGTATCGTGGGACGAGCAGAGAAAATCCAAAGCTAAAACATATGCAAACATTGAAAAGTCTACTGTAGCAGAACTTATCTAGCACATACCAGTGATGCGTGATAAATTCGTTAAACACATTTGAAAAGAAAAACCAATCAACAATTTTCAATAAATTGAAAGAAGTTTCAATAAATACTGATTCTGAAACTAAAAAAGGTAACCCAAGTTGAAGAATCCAAGGTAATCCAAGTTGAGAACGCCGCTTGCTCTTAATTTTGGTCAAACCAAAATCATGAACCATTCAGTCTGGGACATTGAGTTAAAAATATTTGCTATAATTTCTGATTCAACAGATCATACAAAGTTTTCAATTATACTGTATAACAATAAAATCCTTTACTTTATTACTAATAGAAATGTGTGTTGTGTCACTTGTGAACTAGCCATATATATATATATATATATATATATATATATATATATATATATATATATATATATATATATATATATATATATATATATATATATATATATATATATATATATATATATACACACACACACATATATATCCAAAGTTTCTCTTCAGCACAAAATGTGTAAATATTCTGATAAATAAGACAATATTTTTAATTTTTGTTAAAATCATTTATTTTATAAAATACATATTTTGACTATATCATAGCCATTATCAGTTGAAATATATTAAAATGCTTAAATCAAGTTCGTAAAAATAAGTTGAAATATTTGGTTTGGGATGGGGCAGTAATTGTTTCATTCATCATTCTTCGTTTTTTTTCCTTCTTTTTCTAAAAAAGCCGTATGGGTTAAGGTAAGCAAAAAAAGTGAGCAAATGCTTATAAAAATACGCTTTAGTAAGTGTGTGTGTGTGTATATATATATATATATATATATATATATATATATATATATATATATATATATATATATATATATATATATATATATATATATATATATATATATATATATATATATATATATATATATATATATATATATATATATATATATATATATATATATATATATATATATATATATATATACGTATATATATATATATATATATATATATATATATATATATATATATATATACGTCATACTGAAATAGCCTGCTGCCGGGGGCTTCAGTACATACATCGACTGACAAATAGCCTGACTTGCAGTGGAGTGCTGCTACACCGACTGAGGGTTTGGTATGGGGCAGCAATCTTTTCATTTATTTTACTACGCTTTTTTTTTTTTTTTTTTAAAAAAGCCGTATGAATTATGATAAGCAAAAAAAGTGAGCAAATGCTTATATAAATATGCTTTAGTAGATATTATAGTAGATGTGTCATTTAGTGATGAATAAGTGTCATTTTATGATGAATAAAACAATCTTAAATTCTTTAACATAAAGCAAAAAAGAATAAAATTTTAAATGTACAAATGATATCATTACATTGAGAAAATAAATAAATCTACTTCAACATTAAAAAGAAATTAAGCGATTTGTATTTATTAAATTCTTCTGACCTATCGCCAGTTATTTAAAAATAGACATTAATTTTTTGATAAATATTTTAATTAATTTTTTTTTTTTTTTTAATTTTATTTTACTTCACCTCCTCAAGGCCGAGAAGGCCACTACAGATGAGGAGGCTACTTATTTTATGGCTATAATCCTCTCTCAACTCTATAACTCCGAAACACGAACCCTGACGAACAAGGCCGCTGCGCGGAGAAACGAGTTGAGCGCGGTACTACCAGGGACGTGGTGGGGATCGAACTCGGAACCACTCGTTTATGAAGCGAGCGCTCTACCACTGCACCACTACCGCATTGAATTATTATATTATGAGCATATATTCCTAAATCAAATTTTACAAATCTTAAACGAACACATATCTTGTTTTCCTAATTGTGCATTAGTAAATTTGACCAATTAAAACTATTCATTTGTTTTATTTTCAATTTAAATTAACTACTAATTATTAAAAAAATGTATTTAAAATGTAATTAATTCATTATTATAAATTTACTTGGACTAATTTTTAAAAAGAGTTGTTATACAAATTTATTTTCATATAATCACTTCCAGAAAGACCATCCAATTAGTAAGACAGCTCATGCAATGAAAATAATAAAAATGGAAATTAAAAAATAATAATAATAACAAAAAAAAAAAAAAACAGCAAAACCCTTTCTTTATGCCAGATAGTTTTAACCAAAACTAAATGCTTTATATTTATAAACGTTTGATAAACTTTTTTTCATAAATCAAAACATTCCACTTATTGAAAAAATTAACACCATTTTTTGCTATAATGTTTCACTGTTTCGAAACATTAACAATTTTTAACATTAACAAAATATTTTTTCCGCTTAGTGAAGTGAGGGAAAGGTAAAATTAAAGATTTAAGGTAAAGAAAAAATTTACAATAAATTAAAGTAAAAAATAAAAAAATATTTTGTACATAAACATGCTTTGAAATAAAATAAAATACTTTTCTGAATGGATTGCTTCTAAAGTTGATTTTGCATCAAACCCACGCCCAGGAAAAACTTGAGTTTTACCATGAGAAATACATGCAAGACTATAAAAAAAAATTTTATACATGAGAAATCCATGCAACTCTATAAAAAATTTGAGTTTTATTTTCTTTAATAGTCTAGGAAATCACTAGATGTACTCAATGTACTCTGTCCAGACGTTACTAATTCTAGTACCTTAAAAAAAAACTTTAAAAGTCTTTTATTTTAGTGACTATTTGTGATCTTTCCTCCTTTCTAATAAATCTTTTCTTCTAAATCCTTTCCAATAAATCTTTTCTCCTAAATCCTTTCTAATAAATCTTTCCTGCTAAAAACCTTCTAAATCTGTACTGTAGTATGTAGTGTATGTAGTATGCAGTAGAGTTTAATAGTATCTTGAGAATTTTTAATTTAATACATATAATAATTTGACGTATTACTTTATGTATTATGTTATACGTATAACAGACGTATTACGCAATTATAAAGTGTATTACATATAACTACTAAATATAAAAACTAATTATTTAACAATCTGACCATTAAATTCAAAAATATAAGTTAAATTCTCAGTTAAAAGTTTTATTTGGTTAGACTTTACTAAACTATTAATAAAGACTGGAAACTAAATGGTTATGAAAGACTGGAAACAAAAAAAGTAGCTCAAAAACATTGCATGAATTTTTAAAGAACAGCTAGTAAAAACAATACTCTAAAAGAAAAAACCTAGAAACTGTTCTAAACTTAAATTAAGGAACCTCAAACAAAGTGTTTGAAAAAAAATTTATATGCAAAATACCTTCCAAGCACCATTCCAAAACAATGATACAAGGGAACTGGAATACAGGTGCGCTCTGTCTAATGAGAAAAAACAATTCATTACTCTGAAAAATAAATGCTTACAGGGTTATTCATTCTTATATGCGCGTCTATTCATTTTTATATGTACCTTTATTCATTCTTTTATGCGCATTTATTCATTTTTATAAGCGCCTTTTTTTCATTCTTATATGCGCATTTATTCATTTTTATATGCGCCTTTATTCATTCTTATATGCGTTTTACAAAAGCAATTGTAAAAAAGCAATTTGAACAAAAAAAAATAATCATATAAGCAATTTGTTTTGAAAAAACAGTTTATTTTTTCAAAACAAATTTTTCTTATTTCCAGGTAAACAAGGTTAAAAATACTTAAAACGAAGACTTTTTACATTCGACGATGGTTTATTTAATTTAGTATTAGTTCTTTGTAATTTTATTATTAAATTTCCTGATTGATTAAGTTATTATTTATCTAATTATTCATTTATCTAGATTTAAATTTAATTATTTATAATTATTATTAATATCAAATTATACATCCCTATGGATGGAATAGAAAATAGCAGTACCAATCATAAAAAAAGGAAAAATGTTACAAAAGAGCACATTGAAATGCTTAAGCAGTTAATTGAAAGAAATCAATCTACAACAAGCATTTCCACTTCTCTTAATTTATCGAAGCGCACAGTTCAAAATCTTGTCGTTAAGTTAAACAGAGGATAATTCGACAACATGACTGCATTCAAGTCGTTTTCTGATAAAAAATGAGGTAAAAGACCTATAAACTCTCAAATAAAAAATATTATTGAATTATGCGCACAAGAAAACAATCTTTGCATGCAAGAAGCAATAAAAATTTTACAGTCACCTGCAAATCGTGGTAAGAATGTTAGTTTAATTTGTGCTGTTTCAACAATGGGAGTGCTTGCTTATGAAATAAAAACTGGAGGCTAGAATGCAGATTCATTTTGTACTTTCATAACTACAATGATGGAACCAGCGATTAGGAATGCAAAGGTTGAAGCGCCGGTGCTTGTTATGGACAATTGTAAATTCTACTGGAGTCTTTCTATTAGGAAAACACTAGCCTATCATGGTTTAGCTATTAAGTATCATATTACATGGTATAGCTATTAAGTATTATAGCTATTAAGTGTTGATAATAATAATAACTATAAATAATTAAATTTAAATCTAGATAAATGAGTAATTAGATAAATAATAACTTAATCAATCAGGAAATTTAACAATAAAAATACAAAGAACTATAACTAAATTAAATAAACTATCATCGAAAACAAAGAACTAATACTAAATTAAATAAACCATCATCGAAGGTAAAAAGTCTTTGTTTTAAATATTTTTAACTTTGTTTACCTGGAAATAAGAATTTGTTTTGAAAAAATAAACTGTTTTTTCAAAACAAATTGCTTAAAGGGATCCCTAAGTGCTCCTAACATATGATCTCATATGAAAGAGCATAAAAAAAAAAATATGTAAGTTTTTTTTCTTTTTCACTAAATTGTAATAATAAATGCATGCTAACAAAAAGCAATTGCCGAAATCACTAAAAAACAACTCCATTTTGATTTTATTTTTTCACCATTGAAACTCGATTGTTAGTCGTTAAAAATCACGTTAGTACATCACAACAACTATAGAATATCTACTTCGATTTTCAAGTAAAAAAAAGTCGAGATTAAATAGTTAAGTTTTAATCAAGTTTTTTTAATTAGTTTTGCAAAAACATAATAGCACTTGGTTGAAAGACGTTGTTAAAAAAAAGTTATTAAGTAATAGTTTTAAATAGTTTAGAACTTATAAAAAAGTCTTACAGGGGTCGTATTAAGCGTATCTCGATTGCTACACACACTTTTGTGATTAGTTTTTTCTTAAAAGAAAATCTTTTCGCGACTGGTTTTTTTTTTGGTTGATTAATTACTTTTTTTCTAGCTTAGCATTTTTTTTAGCAATTCTTAAAAGTAATGTTTTTATCATAAAGAACGTCACACAAAACTTATTATTCTGAATAGATAGATGAATTGATGCTCTTTTGCGCGGAGATTTTCTTTCAACGTAAAACATTTTTGAATTTAAATTACTTTAAATCTCTGCGTGGAAAATTTTTACAAGGTCGTTAAAGCAAAAAGTTGGTTTTTATCTTTGTTTATCAAAACTTTATGTTTAAAATAAGGCTTAAAAACGTTAGAGCAAAAAAACTACTGACTTTTATTTGCATTTTTATACTATTTGAAAAAATAAAACTAACAAAAAAGAATTAATTGTTACTATTATTAATTCTAATAATTATTAATTAATATATTATTAGTTAATTCTTTTTTATTAGTTTTTTTTTTCAAACAGTATAAAAATGCTAATAAAAACAAGCAATTTTTTTACTTTAACGTTTTTAAGCCTTATTTTAAACATGAAGTATAATTCGATTTATTAAACCAAATTTTTTTTGTTTTATCTTTTATTGGAAAACTTGAAATAGAAAAATTGAATAAAAACATCAACCATTTAAATGAAAAACTTAATTATATTTAAACTTAAATTAGTCCTTTATTCAAAAAACAATAAATTATAAAAAACGTGGTATCTAATTTTTTATTAAGTTTTTGACGATGTTTTTTGATTTATTGACAATAATTTTTTCCCCTCATTACCGCACATCGGCGCGAGCTATTAGAGAGAGAGAGAGAGGGGGGGGGGGGAGAGCAGAAAATAATTTTTTTTTTTGCAATTAAATTTTTTTGCGTTAATTCGAGCCCTGTCTTAGTTTAATTTCTAATAAAATGTCTATTCAACCTTATCAATTTGAACCAAAAAAATATAGCAATTTAACATAAATGTTAATTTAAAAAAAACATTTGTATATCTATATATGTATATGTATATGTATATATATATATATGTATATGTATATATATATGTGAATATATATATATATATATATATATATATATATATATATATATATATATATATATATATATATATATATATATATATATGTATATATATATATATATATATATATATATATATATATATATATATATATATATGTATATATATATATATATATATATATATATATATATATATATGTATATATATATATATATATATATATATATATATATATATATATATATATATATATATATATATATATATATATATATATATATATATATATATATATATATATATATATACAGTATTGGCGAAAAGTATTGCAACTTTTCTAAAATTAACATTTTTATAAAATTCGAAATTAATTTGATGTTTATATATCATATATTCATACAAAAATAAAACCAAACAGCAGCACACTATGTAAACATAAAATTATTAAAGTTAATAAGTCATTAAAGTTAAAATAATAAAGTCATTAAAGTTAAACATGCTGCATTATAAATTTTTCTTACGAAACCATACTTGGTATGGTTTCGTAAGAAAAATTAAATAAATATGGTCATACCATAAATAGTATAGAAAATTTTCATTTTTTCGCTTTTTGAGAGGTATAGTTTAATCATAATGGACAATGCTAACTGACAATGGGATTCAAGTTCTGGACTGGCCAGGCAACAGTCCAGATTTGAATCCCAATGAAAATCACTGGACAGTGATGAAAAGAAAAGTAAGAAAATATTACAGTAAAAGCATTGAAAAACTCATTTACAACATTAAGAAGGTGTGGTGCACCGAAATCACCCCATATCTTTGTCAAAAACTGGTTCAGTTGATGCCAAACCGTATCAAATGTATGTTGAAAAACCATGGACAGCCTTCTAAGTACTAGATATTTATATATGAACACTTCTTTTAATAATACTCTTGTGTATTTGTTTAATGTGTTTTTTTTAAAAAGTTGCAATACTTTTTGCCAACACTGTATATGTATATATACATACAGAGATACATTTATACATGTATATATACATATAGATATACATGTATATATACATATAGATATACATGTATATATACATATATATATACATGTATATACATTTATATATACATATAGATATACATATATATATATATACACTTACTAAAGCATATTTTTATAAGCATTTGCTCACTTTTGTTGGTTACCTTTCATACTGCTTTTATATATATATATATATATATATAAAAGCAGTATGAAAGGTATAATTCATACTGCTTTTATATATATATATATATATATATATATATATATATATATATATATATATATATATATATATATATATATATATATATATATATATATATATATATTTTATATATATATATATATATATATATATTATATATATATATATATATATATATATATATATATATATATATATATATATATATATATATATATATATATATATAAAAGCAGTATGAATTAAGGTAACCAACAAAAGTGAGCAAATGCTTATAAAAATATGCTTTAGTAAGTGTATATATATATATGTATATCTATATGTATATATAAATGTATATACAATTCACCATACTGAAATAGCCAAGGTAAGCAATCTGACGTCATACTGAAATAGCGATTATTGAAATAGGGCTTCAGTACATACATTGACTGACAAATAGCCTGACTCGCAGTGGAGTGCTGCTACATCGACTGAGGGTTTGGGATGGGGAAGCAATCGTTTCATTCATTATTCTTCGTTTTTTTTCTTCTTTTTCTAAAAAAGCCGTATGGATTAAGGTAAGCAAAAAAAGTGAGCAAATGCTTATAAAAATACGCTTTAGTAAGTGTGTATATATAAATATATATATATATATATATATAATATATTTATATATATATATATATATATATATATATATATATATATATATATATATATATATATATATATATATATATATATATATATATATATATAAATAGTATTGCGTACTAAGGTAAGCAATCGGACGTCATACTGAAATAGCCTGCTGCTGGGGCTTCAGTACATACATTGACTGACAAATAGCCTGACTTGCAGTGGAGTGCTGCTACATCAACTGAGGGTTTGGGATGGGGAAGCAATCGTTTCATTCATCATTCTTCGTTTTTTCTTCTTCTTTTTCGAAAAAAACGGTATAGCTTAAGGTAAGCAGAAAAAGTGAGCAAATGCTTATCAAAACACGCTTTAGTAAGTGTGTATATATATATATATATGTATATACACACATATAAATAATACTCGGCTCGGAATAGCTGCCGAATATCGGATATTATCTTAGGTTTTTTCTTTTTCTTTAAGATTTTTTATTTTTAAATAAGTTATCTTTTAAATTTTATTTTTGTTTTAAGCGCAGTTTTGGTCAAGTTGAAATAAATAAAATATTTTAAATATGGTCAGGAATGGTGTTCCACTGCATTTCTTTAGGTTTTATCAGACATGTAAGCCAATCTTGAGTATTTATCGGACAAATTGTCCAGAACAAAATAGTTTGTTATTTCAAGCCCTGTTTTAACAAACAAACAAAAATAAAAAATTAAGAAAGTTTTTATAAAAGTGTAGTTTTGTGTCATTACATGATTTTTCTACAAACATAAAATTCTTTATTATAATCTTTGCTATTATATTATTTATAAATATTTTATTTAGTACTAACCATCTTTATAAAAAAAAAATGTATGAGTAACCAAGCTTACATTTAAGTTATGTCCAACTATATAACCATTATTTACCAGGTTGTGGTGAGTTAAGGTTACACCTTTTGGAAAACCTGTTGTACCCTGAAAATTAAAACAATGCTAATATATCAATATATATATATATATATATATATATATATATATAAATATATATATATATATATATATATATATATATATATATATATATATATATATATATATATATATATATATATGTATATATATATATATATATATATATATATATATATATATATATATATATATATATATATATATATTATGCTGTCTTTAAGCAACTTGCGGTAGACGAATGTAAGCAGTGTGGCAAAGACTGTAGCGCAATTTTTTAGGAGTCTTGGGTGAAGACCGTTGATTGTGCATTATATTGTGCATTATAAAGTATATTATATTATATTTGTATATATTATATAATGTTATGTATAGTAAATTAATATATATATATATATATATATATATATATATATATATATATATATATATATATATATATATATATATATATATATATATATATATATATATATATATAGGCTTTCACAGGAAGACGTGCAATTTCATGTCTTTATATGACCACGCAAAAAAAAAAAATGTTTTGACGATTTGACCACGGCATATTTTTAAAATTTAAAAACGCGCTACAAAATATATATATATATATAACGCAACTAAAACAAAACTCATCAAACTAAAATGCTTAGTCTATTTAATTTACGCATTAAAAAACCTTTTCAATCTTTGTTTCAACATTTTTATATATTTTTTATTTGTTTAATATGTTTAAAAGTTAAATGTTTCTCATAAAAAATACACAGTTATATAAATAAAATAAAAAAACATTTTATAAATACTTTTTTTTTAATTAATTAGAAGTGTTTTTTTTTTTACTTCATTAAAAGCGTTTCAATAATATAAAAGCATTTAAGATCAAACTTATTAAATTGTAACGGTTTTCTAAAACTTTTTTTTTAACGAAATTTTGTTTATCATTTTAAATGCATTAACTTTAATCATTTTTATATTTAAATTCATTAAAGAGACTTTTGTAGTCGTAGAATGTCATTATTTAAAAAAACAAAACAATTTTTTATTTTATTTTAGAAATGAACACTTAAACAATTTATATGTTTTAAATTAAAAAAATATATACAACTGTCAATTATATTTAAAAAACACAACTTTTTTTCAGTAAATTGTTACTTTATTTAAAATCGTTTTGCTAATATAAAACATTTGTTAAGAAGTTTTGATGTAATTAATTTCACTTTTTTAGAATATTTTTTATTTAGCGCGTTTCTAAAATGTTTTTTAAATTAGCTGAAGTCAAACTGTCATAGCCAAATGTAACTGGCGTGGTCATATAAAGATGTGAAATCGCATGTCTTCCTGTAAAAGCCTGATATATATATATATATATATATATATATATATATATATATATATATATATATATATATATATATATATATATATATATATATATATATATATATATATAAAATATTATATTTGCATATATTATATAATGTTATGTATAGCAAATTGTTATAAATTATAAAAACCTAAAAAAATATAGAGAACATCTTTATGTTAAACTCACAGATGTAAATTGAATATTAACTGGACTATCAAATTGTATTTTCTTTTTTAAACTGAAAACCATTTGTCTTTGTTGAAATCCTCCCATGGAAAGCAGTTCATCAAATGAAAAAGTGCCTCTATACACAGAAAATAATAATAATAATAAAAAAAAACAATAAAAAACAATAATACTGTGTTATCTTATTTGTATTGAATATGTAAAATTGAAAAACTTTTTTTTAGTAATTACAACATGTCTTAACAATGCTTACTGTTTTGCTGGCCCTTCAGTCATTATTACATATCTTAATGATGGCACACTAAATTCAAAAAAAAATTAAATTATATAATATTATAAAGTATACAAACTATAATATAAGAAATTGTGATAATTTATATAATTACATAACATAATCAATTATGACATATACCTCAGGGCTCAGCCCCCCTCAAGGCTTTTAGAAAAGTGGCATTAAACTATTATAACGAATATCGTTCTTTTCTTATTTTTTTTTATCTTTTATAATTTTATAGTCATTATCTGACTATTAAAAAAAGTCTAGACTGGTTATTTTAAATTTTTGTCATTTTCAGGTGTGGAAAACAGTAATATGTTGCGCCTGGAAAAACTTCTTTTTTAAAATTCAATTGTATTCCTAAAAAATAGGGCCTTAAAATTTGGCCCTTTAAGCAAGAATATGTTACATAGAGGGAAATCTACTTCTGCAGGAATATTATAGTGGTCTGCGGAAATATAATAGCAGCATTTTTTTTCTGTAACTGGTTTACCAACTTTAAGTGAATTTCTACTCTACTGGTAAAAAAATTGGTTATCTAGAAATCATGTTCCAAAATCAAAAAACTGTGCATTTTTGCCTAACATTAAGAAATAATATCTTTTAATGCTACCAATTGCATATACTTTTTATAGCATTTTTTAACCGAAATAAAACATAATTAGATTCAATTAAAAAATAACTAAGTGCAACAAGAACCTGAAAAAGAGAAACCATCCAAGACACAATTTTTGTTCAAAATTCACCTTGCAAGTTTAAAATAAAAAATGTTATTTAGTTTTCTCAAACATGCTACTTCTATATGTGAAAACAAATCTGTATGTTCAAGTGATAAAAAGCCAAAATAAAGTCAATAATTGGTCATCACCATGATCAGTTATTGATCATCACCATGATCAGTTATTGGTCATCAGCATGATCAGTTATTGGTCATCACCATGATCAGTTATTGGTCATCACCATGATCAATTATGCTACTTATTCAATACTCACAACCTTGCTTATTTTTTCTTTAAATTAAGAAAAACACTATCATGTTATTAAATACATACTCTTTCTAAATTTTCCTAATTGCTATTAATAAAATAATTAAATTAGATATTATTTTTCTAATTTTTAATCTCATCTTTTAATGCTTCTCTCTGCAAAATTCTTACAAAAATAAAAATCAAATTTTTGTGGTCTTTAAACTCAATTTATTTTGGTATTTAGTAGTATCTCTGATAATTGCACTTTCACATAGTTTTTTGTTACACAAAATGAAAGTTTCAAAACTTAGAGATTTGCAAATTAAAATTTTGAAGTTTTGAAGACTATTTTTATTAAAATAACTTCAAATATCAAAAAGTTTAAAATTTTTAAGACTACAGCCTACCTAAATAGTGAATGATTCGACCCCCGGTCCTGGCTAAAAATAAGACTTTTTGGTTCGAATTTTTGAATTTCGAATTTGGCAATGCCAACCTAACTGCCGACTTCAAATTATTGCCAACCTCATTTTTCCTAATTCCGAGGGTTGTGTTTATATATTTTTAAAAACAAATTCACTTCCAATAAGATAACAAGCAACCACTATTAAATTATGAGTTACTTGAAAATAAAGGAAAAGGTTAACTGAAAACTTGAAAAGTTATAGGATGTATAAGTCAGGAAAATGATGATGTATAAGTCAGGAACATGAAGATGGGTAAGAGTTATTAGATTTTGTTCATGTGCAAGGAAAAAAAAACTGGATTAATAAAAGTTTTTATAGCATGAAGGGACAGATAAAGTGAAAGGATACCACTTGCTAAATAAGAAACCAGGCAAAAATGAGTTTTGGTTGAACAAACTTGAGATGATAGCTGGTTTGAGCATTGATCATGATAGCATTTGTAGAAAATAAGAAAGAATTGCAACCTTATGACAGTAGGAGAGTTTTGCAGATAAGTTTGGCAGATAAAGCAGGTCGAATTACATTTATAATGTGCTTTTAAAATTTGTCTAAGAGTGAGAGTTGCTATTCATCAATATAGGAATGCCAACAATATTGCAATATTTGTTTGCAATAAATAAATTTTTCCAACAAAAATTGTGAAATTTTAGTCCAGACTTAAAAACCACAAGCCACTGCAAGCCCCAAGCTATTATAGAAGCAAGATCAGATTAATCAGTTGCATGTTCGAATCAAAAAGTGAAGACTTTTTGTCAAGACAAGAGTATAAAGTTGAGTTGTCAGCAAATAGAGCCACTTTTGATGTAGAATTTTTATGAAGATTGTTATTACAGATAAGAAACAATACAGGAGCAAAGTTAGAATCTTGCTGTACCCTGAAAGTTACTCAAAAATAAAGACGAGTGTAGGCCTTTGAAAATAACTTACAGTTAAAAAGAAACGATTTAATAATCTTAAAACGTTTATATAAAGAAACTAATAATAGAGTGAGACTAATCATATGATAGTTAGAAAGGCCAGAGTGTTTTTTAAAATTGAAGAGAGTTCTTGAGAACACCTTTATAAACTATGATGGAAATCTTGTCTGAATCACAAACTGTAGAAGAGTTCAATTGAGAATTAACTTTAGTATTGGATGCCTGAGTAATTTAAATGTTCAACAATGGGTTAATATGTTTAACTGGAAAGACATTAAATTCAAGAGTCAAATTAGAGGAAAAGTTCTTTCCAAATAACTATGCCATATTTTAGAGAGATTTTATTTATTTAGGGAGAAGTAAAAAGAGATTAAAAGTTAGACTTTAGTTAATGACACTGTTGAAGACTTTTCAAAAGTCTCTAAAACCTAACATACGAAATAAGATACAAGATTTAGTAAACTGATGATGACAGACATCAGACAGGACCTTTTAAAATAGGGTTCTTGCAATAAGAAAAGAACATTTGTTTGTTAAGAGAGATGTTTTTGTAAAGAAGTCGAAGAAAATGATTATGGTTTAATAAACCAAGATGGTAAAAAATGTGGAGTAGAATGAGTCTTGAAAATATATGTACATATATATATATATATATATATATATATATATATATATATATATATATATATATATATATATATATATATATATATATATATATATATATATATATATATATATATATATATGTATGTATATATATATATATATATATGTATGTATATATATATATATATATGTATGTATATATATATATATATATATGTATGTATATATATATATATATATATGTATATATATATACATACATATATATATATATATATATATATATATATATATATATATATATATATATGTATATATATATATATATATATATATATATATATATATATATATATATATATGTATGTATATATATATATGTATGTATATATATATATATGTATATATATACATATATATATGTATGTATGTATATATATATATATATATATATATATATATATATATATATATATGTACATATATATATAATATATATATTATATATATATATATATATATATATATATATATATATATATATATATATATATATATATATATATGTACATATATATATAATATATATATTATATATATATATATATATATATATATATATATATATATATATATATATATATATATATATATATATATATATATATATATATATATATATATAATGTAACATGAATTTCAATTAAAAATATATATACACTTTAGGATGTATAAATGTTTATGCAGCCACAATAACAAACCTGGCCCTGGCAATATTTTTTCAAACCTAGCCCCGACACCGGTCAAATCTCAACCACAGTCATTTAGTATAACTATATATCCCTCTTGTTTATATATTTGTAACATTTATAAACATTTATAAACAGTTATAAATAGTTTTTTTTAAAATTTGATAAAAATTCTTTCTCTATGGGCCCAGATTAAGTAAACTGATCCTATATTTGGGCAGCTCCATACCTGTAATGAAAGCAACTTACCAACAAAAGGGGAAAAATCTGAAAACCTAGCCATAGTATTACAATTAAAATAATCAGTTCTGTTCAGCAAAACAAGCCAGTAAGAGTATTAACCATTACTTTAATTCGTATTTAATGTCATATTTAAATAGAAAAATTACTTTATGGGAAATTGTCCTACTTAAACAAGTGTGGAACCATAAATGTTAAATTTGAAATAAATAAAAAATTAAAAAAAAAAAATCACTTTTAAAGCAGTTAAATACTGTTTAAATTTAAATAAAAAAAAAATTTTTTTGGCATTTGCTTTTAACCTGAAAATTTAACTATTTAACCTGAGCCAGGTTTAATATTTAATTTTTTTTTTTTTACTTTTATATTTAATCATTTCTTTGAGAAAAAAGTAAATTAAAAAACCTCTTTGCATTTAGGTCTCCTGCTAGAGAGTTATTGATTTCAGGAACAACATTACTAAGTATTTCATAATAATCAGATGTCTTGAACTTTGGCATAAGAAAAAGAGCTTTCATCTCAACCTGTTTTAAAAATAAAAATAACTAACATTATTTTCAATAAAAAAGGAAATAAAAAAGCAAAAACATCAAGGACATAATGTAATGGCTACAACTTATAGGTATAACTTTTAAATCACTTATTATATTTGTTTAATCTCCGGTCACATTAGTTTAATCTCATTTGCTTAATATCTGGTTGCTTTTTTTGAATACCCAACCACATATGTTTAATCTCTGGTCACAGTTGTTTAATCTCTGGTCACAGTTGTTTAATCTCTGGTCACATTTGTTCAATATTTATCATTTTTGTTTAATCTTTGATCACATTTGTTTAATCTCTGATCACATTTGCTTAATTTCTGGTCACATTTGTTTCATACCCGGTCACATTTGTTTTATCTCTGGTCACCTTTGTTTAATCTATATCAAATTTATTAATACTTTATTAGAACTAAAAGTGACAATATTTTAGAAACAGCTCACTTCATTTAAAGGAATTCATTTAACTTACAATATTAACTATATAACTTACAATATTAACTATTAAACTTGCAATATTAACTATAAAACTTGCAACTATAAACTTCTCTATAACTTAAAATGTATATTCAAGATATTTGCCATCTAGCGTTTTGTTTAGAAAAAGAAAGAATTAAAAGAGATAAAGTAATAAAACAAATTTAGAATGTTTTTTTTTGTTAAAGGTTATTAACAAAAAATCAAAAGTACTATTACAAAAATCAAGAAAATTTTCCATCACAAAACTAACTGTTCCATCACAAAATCAACTGCTCCATCACAAAACTAACTGTTCCATCACAAAACTAACTGTTCCATCACAAAACTAACTGTTCCATCACAAAACTAACTGTTCCATCACAAAACTAACTGTTCCATCACAAAACTAACTGTTCCATCACACAACTAACTGTTCCATCACAAAACTAACTGTTCCATCACAAAACTAACTGTTCCATCACAAAACTGACTGTTCCATCACAAAACTAACTGTTCCATCACAAAACTAATTAGCCTTCCTTTTAAACATCAAAATTTTGTTCAAAATGTGTTTTCATACACTTTGCAACATAATAAACTGGATTATAGAACAGGTCTTAATTTTGCTTTACCACAACCCTTTATAAAAAGACAAACATTTTTGCTAAGATTGATAAAATTACACAATTTGATCATACAAAAAAACAATTCAAAAGCTTGATCATACTTCACAAACTCTCAACACTCAACTTATAAACAAATATTAGGAATCTCAAATTAAAAGTGGTCTTCCTTATTTGGCAAACAATTATAAATACACACCATCAAAGACTGTTTAAGAAAATACAAAATATTAAAGACAACAAAAAAATGAAAACATTTTCACAAGACCAGACAAAGGGAATGATATAATTATTCTTAACAAAGTTGACTAAAAAAATATGAAATATTATGAGAACTAAATTTAAATAATTAAAAGATGAACCCACTACCAAAAGAGAAGTGTCTTTACAAGAGTATCTTAAAAAAATCTTGTGTTTTAAAAAAGATATTTACAGTAAAATTGATCCTATTAGCTCACAAAAAGGTCATGTAAGGTCTATAAACTCATTAAAGATTCTTCACTACTATTTTTTCAACCAACTATTTCTACAATTGGGACATATAATGATAAAGATCTCACTGGTTTGTTATTTATTTACCAAAACATCTTTCCATTTTTGACTCTTTTTCTTTTTTTTTGAAAAAACAAGTTGATAAAACAAACAAATTTTTAGTTTTGTATGATGTTAGAAGCTTATTTACAAATATTCCATTTTAAAAAACTATAATTGCTATCAATTTGTACTTTAAAGACAAAACTGT